AATAAGACTTTGATATTTCCATGGGTATTCCTAGCCAAACTCACTTAGGAGTAAAAACAATTTAACTAGATATTATTATTGAAGGAGTGGAGTTATCTAAAAGATCTTTCCATGCTGATTGAAATTCATCTCAATATTTTCTCTTTTGCTTGAAGCTTTACAGATTGCTAATTATATGTGTATATAACTCACTGGATTATGTATCGCTCAGTTCCTTGATGAAATCATCAGTAATGATGAAGTGGGAAGGTTTGGTTTTAATTTTGGTTTTTGCAGGGATTTGGGAGGCTCTCATTTGGAACAAGAGAATGCTTGAGTGGGCTGCTAATGTATATAGGGAACCTTCTAAATATAGGAGAACTGTATTAAGATAGAGATGGGAGGATGCTTCATAATTTTGGTGGCTTGGGATGGTTCTAAACATATACTCTACATTTGTTGATTGTTTATAGCAAGTGAAAGAAAGAGAACAAACAAGGGGAACTCATAGACTTTTACTCTAAGTATCTGGGCAGAAGGTGGTACCATTACCTGAAATGAAAAAGACTGCTGTATCAAGTACAAAGAGTTCCCTCTCACTGTTTTTCCTATTCAAAGATTTCCTGGTTTTCTCTTTTATTTTTCCATATTAACTTTAGAATGAAATTATATTCATCTAGAAAAAAGCAAAATACCATTTTTTATTGTAGTTGTATTCAATGTATAATGAATATGGGGGAACTGTCATCTTCATGATGTTGAATCCTACTCAAGAATATGGTTTGTCTTAAAACCATGACTAGTTCCTCAGTCTTACTTAAATCTTTTGGTGTTGTTCTAGAGATTTTCTTTTACCATATAGATTTTACACACTTCTTGTTAAGTTTACTTCTGAGTATTTTATTTTTGTATTGCTATTATAATGGGGTCTTTTCTTTCATTATATCGTCTTACATGTTGTTGTATATGATAGTATTTATATCAACTTTAAAAATAAAATAGCCAGTTACCATACCTGCAAGATGAGTTTATTTGGGAATAGCCAGAGGAATTACAATTTAGGAGATGCAAGCTATGGTGGACCATAGGCAAATCCAGGGAACAAAGGAGGGGAGCTTACTTTTATAGAGAAAAGTGGGGGGGAGGTTGGAGGGACTGTTCTAAACAAAAGTTTACTGGAGGAAAGTAAGAGTTCAGGGTGGCAATGGCTTCTCATTGGCTGGTCTGTTGCTGGGCAAGGAAAATCTTCCTTCCTGAAATAGAAGACTTCCTCTTGTTTGGTAAAGTAAGATACAGTTCTTCCCACGGGGCATGAAAATAGAGGCCAGTGCATGCAAACAATGGAAAGTGATAGTAGTGAGAGCACCTTCTACAGGCCCTCTCAACTCTAATTTTAGTTGAGGTTTTCTTTAATTTTCATATTTATTTCTATATATTCATTTTTACTTGGCTAATTTATTGAATTCTTTCCTTGCTTATAATGTTACAGTTTTTAGGCTTAGTTATTATAAACATTTTAACATTTATGTTTATTAATTTTCTTCTAATACCTTTTATTTATTTTATTGTTCTTTAACATTTTAAGTTAAATGATTGATTCGCTCATTTTTTAATTTCTATTTTATTTATATAATAATTTAAGTCTGTGAATTTTCCTCTAAGCTTTGCTTGCTTTATATTTTATAGGATCTAATCTGTAGTACTTTTATTATAAATGTTTCTAGAAATTCTGCAATGTTGTTTTGTGTTTTCCTTTTGACTCAAGTATTGTTCAAAGCAGTATTAAATTTTTTTCCAATGGAAGGGTTTTTCAATTTCTGATTTTGTCAATACTTATAACTTTATTGATTTGTGATCAGAGAAAATATCTGTAGTTTATCTAGCTATCTACTTTTTGGTATTAATTACTTCTTTTGCTGTTGCCAAAGTCATATCATTAAAAATATATTCTTTGGGCACCTGAAAGGAAAATATATGATCTACTTTCAGAGTTTAATATATTGTCATCAGATATATATCATTAATTATGTTGCTTATATTTTCTATACCTTTGATCTGTAATGGATTGAGAAAGGTTAATTGAATTCAACAAATTCAATGTGTTTCTATTTCTCCATGTATCTCCTGTAATTTCTGTTTTATGAACTGATTTCTTTTTTATTTGTTACTTATATATTTATCATTGTCGTGTCTTCATTTAAATCACACCTTTGCATTATAATATGTACCTTTTTATCCTATTTGATAAATTTGCTGAATTTCTCCTTATTTGATAATAAGAGCATCATTTTTTTTTGATTAGTCATTTTCCTGTTATATGTTTGCCCACCTTTTATTTTCAACATTTCTGAACAGCTTTGTTTTAGATGTGTTTTATATAAAGTGTAGAACTAGACTTTATTTTGCGAGTCAATTTTAATATATTATTCTTTTAATAGATAACAGAAAAATTTATATTTATTATTATGGTAAATATATACAGTCTGAAATGTCATATTATCTTCTGTTTTGTTGTTTTTACGGTTTTTGTTTACTTTTTATATTTTTTCTTTTTTGTATATAGTTGTTTTATTATTTAGGAAGATTTAGGAAGTTAATAATTATAACTTTATACAGTACTCTTAGTTCTATGTTTCTTTATATGGTATCTATTGATACTCTATTAGAAGAAATGATAAAATGTTTCCTTTTCCTTCCGTGATTCCATTTCTTTTGTCTCCAACCTGATATTTGCCAATAAAAATTATCTTTGTAGTGTGTTTATCTTATACTTTTAAATATTCTCATATTTATATTATTTGATTGGTCAGCTTTAAATTATATCTGTTCATTCTAGTCATTAAATATAAGGCAATCAACAAACTTTCTCAATTTTGTCCTTCCTATTCTAATTTTGTTAGTTGCACCAATTCTACCTAATCAGAGAAAATAGCATTTAACATTTTGTCTATCACCCCAATCCTCACACTTTTTTGCCTTAATTTTGTTATTAAATATATTCAAAACACTCCAATAGTCCTTTTGCCAGTTTCCTCAGATATATTTTGATTCATTAACATTCATCTTTTAGTTCATTCCTCTGCAAAAACTCATGGGAACAATATTTCCTGTGTTCTTACAATTTCAAAATTGTTTGCAAGCTTTAATCTTGGAAGACAATTTGACTGGATATGAAATCCTTGCTCCCAGTTTCTTTACATGTGTCTCTTGTAGGTATTGCTCTGCTGTTTTCTGGAATTGAATGTAAAAATCTGAATTTTTGCCTGGTTGCTCATAGGATTCTTTTTTTAGTCTTTAAAATCCAGCAACTTTACTGATATGTGTCTCACTGTTGACTATTATAGGTCAATTTGTATGGACTCAAGTCTTTTTTCCCCATTTTGTATGACTCTAAGTTCTTATTTTTAAAGTGTTTGGCATAGTGTTTGGCCATAATGTTCAACTTTTCCATAACAACATTTTTCTGTTGAGTTTATTACTTTATTATTAAATTTAAAATTTTCTTTGTTTTTTTTTCCTTGGGTCTGCCACTTTTAAAATGTATCCTTTTATTTACTTAAAAATTTGCATATAGTAAAATTTACTCTTTTTTGGTGTATAGTTCCATAACTTTAGAAAAATGCATATAGTCATGTAACTACCACTAGAATCAAAGTTCCCCTGGGCTGATTCTTATATAGTATCCTTTTATTGATGCTGTGTAAAATCCTTTTTAAAATTACTTATCATGGAATGAGCTGGATTTTCTTGGATCTTATCTTTGCAGGGTGCTTCTGTTAGGGTTTGGGGAGGACATGCTGAGCAGCCTTCAGATTCTTCCTTCACCACTTTCACAGAGTCAAACTACTTCCTGTTTGAATGGCTCCTCTGAGTCTTTGTGTTACTACCCACTGTGAACTATGCTAGGTCCAAGAGGGCTTCTTCTGCCCTTATTCCCACATTTTCTGCTACAAATAAGAGAGATATATATTGCATTTTATGTGATCCCTTCACCTTCAGGATGTATATTTTTGTAGTCATTTCCAGAGATCTGTCACTGCTGGCCATCTTGTTATTCTCTGAACTTCTTTCTGCCTTTCTCCCTGTGTGGTATCTACTAACTCTGCTGATCCTGGGTAACTTCCATGTTTTTGGAGTCTGTGTACAATATGTCTTCTAGTTTTGCTAAAAATTGTGCAGTTTTTGTTGTTGTCATTAACTGTGTTGCATTTGCATGTTATCTGGGAGGAGAAGAGAGACAATACTGTCTCACACGGCCCTGTTCTTACTGGAAGTCCTTCCTTTGACTTCCCTCATCACTGCCTTTCCCTCATTCCCCTTCCTTGGCTCACACATTAAGCACTGGAATCCCTCATACTGCTAACCTCTCTTATTCCTACATCTCTTAATTAAAGCATGTATGAATACTTCCTGTTATATCCTAGACCTCGTCATCATTTTCTAAACATATAATTTCAAAGTTGATCCATTTTTTCCTGCTATCCTTTTGGCTTGGAATGCTCTTTTATTCTTTCCCTGATTAGTATAGTCTTGTTCATACTTTATGACCTAAAAATGTATATTAACTCCTTCAGGAAACCTTCCTTGACACCTCCTCAGGATGAAGCAGAATTAATCTCTCATCTATGCTTCCACAGTACATTGTGCCATTTTTAGTGCACTTATTTTGTCGTTTTCAATATTTACATATTATCAAGCCAGTGAGTATCCCCTGCATCTACATATTGACCTGTCAATACAGAACTTTCAAATCCTGGGTTTCTAGGACTCTACTTACAACTCTCCGATGATGGTCAGCACATACCTTCATTTATCTCATTTGATTTTCCACTGTTCAATTGAGGGGTATAATATTTTGAGTCATCTAGGTTATCTAGCTTTTGCTTGCTAAGTGATTTGATAATTTCAAAGCAGTTTTACTATTCTTAGGATGTAACTGGAACTCCTCTAGAATTGGAGCATTCACAAATTAAAAAAAGAAAAACTCAGTAATCATTAATGGAAGTTATTCTGCATTCCAGGTGATGCAACTGTGACAATAGCTCACAGATATACTCCCAAAGAACAACTGAAGATCCATACACTGCTGGCAGATGTTATCGTAGTAGCTGCAGGTAAGTCTTTAGTGGCTGTTATTTGGTGAAATGTCATCAGCAGACTAATTCCTGCCCTAATTGCTGACATGTCTATAAGAACAGCTTCTTGGGAGACTTAGGTATATGTAGGGACTGACTTCCTTCTGTCTCTTGGCAATCATCATATTGGTCCATTATACCTATGTTAGCATTCATCACTTCATTGTGGAAAAACAAAACAGCCTTTGGAATGACGGATTAAGCACAAGAATAAATGTGTACTTTTACAATTACTTTGACAGACATGATTGGTTCTAAACATGAATAAGTTATGGGGAGACTGATAGGAAATGCTGTTGAAAGAGTAGCCAGGGCTAGCTCACATAGGACCTTGTAGACCCTGTAAGGACTTTCATATAAGCCAAAGATGGCTGTGAGCAGGAGATTGACATGATCTGGCTTATGTTTTTAAAATATTATTCATACTGTGTCAAGGGGAATTGAGTCTAGAAGAGCAGGAGTAGAAACAGAGAGAACAGTTATTGCACTTCTACTTAATGGATCTAGGTTTTTCCTTAATTTGTTTTATAATCAAACATACAAATTAATTCTACCCTTCATTTCTATCTTTACTCTTGCCACATAGCATTTCTACATTGCAGATAATTGTGACTCTTGTTGTTTTATCCAAGACTAGAATGGGAGCGTTTTTCATTTTGTTTATCAATTAGATGTTATTGGTAATTTCTAGGCTTTACACTTGATTTGCTGAGTATTTACAAACTATGAAGGGTGGGTAAAAGTTCCAGAAGAAATTGAGTTTGATGAAGAGAATAATAATAGTTTAAATTAGTTTCAACCAAGTTTAATTCACTTTTTATTATAATATAGGCCCTTCTCTGAAAGTCAGAATATATATGTGATGATTCCAGGTGGAGTAATTTGCCTCTTCATAGAGTAAAAATAGAAATATTCTCTTTTCAAGAAGTCACCAGTAAGCTGGTAAAGCTAAGCACATTTCCCATTTTTCTGAGAAATTATATTCAGATGATATCAAGTGCAAGTTTTTGAACTGGGTTGACATAAGTAAGACATCAGATGTTTAGAGAGGCAATACAATTTTTCAGACCACAGGTCAACATTAAGTAAAATACTGCTGTAGCAGCTGATATACTCACAGAAGACAAATATTGGGTTGGCCAAAAAGTTGATTACGGCAAAGCCTAATGCACTTTTTTGGCAAACCCAATGTTATGTTGACTTCTTTTTATTTATTTATTTATGTATTATTATTATTTTTTAATATTTATTTTCTTATTAGTCATCCATTTTACACACATCAGTGTATACATGTCAATCCCAATCGCCCAATTCATCACACCAACTCCCCCAACCCCCGGCCGCTTTCCCCCCTTGGTGTCCATATGTTTGTTCTCTACATCTGTGTCTCAATTTCTGCCCTGCAAACTGGTTCATCTGTACCATTTTCTAGGTTCCACATATATGTGTTAATATACGATATATTTTTTTCCCTTTCTGAATTACTTCACTCTGTATGACAGTCTCTAGATGCATCCCCATCTCTACAAATGACCTGACTTCGTTCCTTTTTATGGCGGAGTAATATTCCATTATATATATATACCACATCTTCTTCATCCATTCATCTCTTGATGGGCATTTAGGTTGCTTCCATGACATGGCTATTGTAAATAGTGCTGCAGTGAACATTGGGGTGCATGTATCTCTTTGAATTATGGTTTTCTCTGGGTATATGCCCAGTAGTGGGATTGCTGGGTCATACAGTAGTTCTATCTTTTGTTCTTTAAGGAACCTCCATAGTGGCTGTATCAATTTACATTCCCACCAGCAGTGCAGGAGGGTTTCCTTTTCTCCACACCCTCCCCAGCATTTGTTGTTTGTAGACTTTCTGATGATGCCCATTCTCACTGGTGTGAGGTGATACCTCATTGTAGTTTTGATTTCCATTTCTCTAATAATTAGTGATGTTGAGCAGCTTTTCATGTGCTTCTTGGCCAACTGTATGTCTTCTTTGGAGAAATCTCTATTAAGGTCTTCTGCCCATTTTTGGATTGGGTTGTTTGTTTCTTTAATATTGGGCTGCATAAGCTGTTTATATATTTTGGAGATTAATCCTTTGTCACTTGCTCCATTTGCAAATATTTTCTCCCATTCTGAGGGTTGTCTTTTTGTCTTGTTTATGGTTTCCTTTGCTGTGCAAAAGCTTTGAAGTTTCATTAGGTCCCATTAGTTTATTTTTGTTTTTATTTCCATTACTCTAGGAGGTGGATCAAAAAAGATCTTGCTGTGATTTATGTCAAAGAGTGTTCTTCCTATGTTTTCCTCTAAGAGTTTTATAGTGTCCTCTTGTACATTTAGGTCTCTAATCCATTTTGAGTTTATTTTTGTGTATGGTGTTAGGAGGTGTTCTAATTTCATTCTTCTACATGTAGCCATCCAGTTTTCCCAGCACCACTTATTGAAGAGACTGTCTTTTCTCCACTGTATATCCTTGCCTCCTCTGTCATAGATTAATTGACCATAGGTGTGTGGGTTTAACTCTGGGCTTTCTATCTTGTTCCATCGATCTATGTTTGTGCTTTTGTGCCAGTACCATATTGTCTTGATTACTGTAGCTTTGTAGTATAGTCTGAAGTCAGGGAGTCTGATTCCTCCAGCTCCATTTTTTTCCCTCAAGACTGCTTTAGATATTCGGGGTCTTTTGTGTCTCCATACAAATGTTAAGATTTTTTGTTCTAGTTCTCTAAAAAATGCCATTGGTAATTTGATAGGGAGTGCACTGAATATGTAGATTGCTTTGGGTAGTATAGTCATTTTCACAATATTGATTCTTCCAATCTAAGGACATGTTATATCTCTCCATCTGTTTGTATCATCTTTAATTTCTTTCATCACTGTCTTATAGTTTTCTGCATACAGGTCTTTTGTCTCCCTAGGTAGGTTTATTCCTAGGTATTTTATTCTTTTTGTTGCAGTGGTAAATGGGAGTGTTTCCTTAATTTCTCTTTCAGATTTTTCATCATTAGTGTATAGGAATGCAAGGGATTTCTGTGCATTAATTTTGTATCCTGCAACTTTACCAAATTCATTGATTAGCTCTAGTAGTTTTCTGGTGGTATTTTTAGGATTCTCTATGTATGGTGTCCTGTCATCTGCAAACAGTGACAGTTTTACATCTTCTTTTCCAATTTTTATTCCTTTTACTTCTTTTTCTTCTCTGATTGCTGTGGCTAGGACTTCCAAAACTATGTTGAATAATAGTGGTGAGAGTGGACATCCTTGTCTTGTTCCTGATCTTAGAGGAAATGCTTTCAGTTTTTCACCATTGAGAATGATGTTTGCTGTGGGCTTGTTGTAAATGGCCTTTATTATGTTGAGGTAGGTTCCCTCTATACCCACTCTTTGGAGAGTTTTTATCATAAATGGGTGTTGAATTTTGTCCAGAGCTTTCTCTGCATCTATTGAGATGATCATATGGTTTTTATTCTTCAATTTGTCAATATGGTGTATCACATTGATTGATTTGCATATATTGAAGAATCCTTGCATCCCTGGGATGATGATCATGGAGTATGATCCTTTTAACGTGTTGTTGGATTCTGTTTGCTAGTATTTTGTTGAGGGTTTTTGCATCTATATTCATCACTTATATTGGTCTGTAATTTTCTTTTTTTGTAGTAACTTTGTCTGGTTTTGGTATCGGGATGATGGTGGCCTCATAGAATGAGTTTGGGAGTGTTCCTTCCTCTGCAATTTTTTGGAAGAGTTTGAGAAGGATGGGTGTTATCTCTTCTCTACATTTCTGATAGAATTCACCTGTGTAGCCATCTGGTCCTGGACTTCTATTTGTTGGAAGAATTTTAATCACAGTTGCAATTTCGTTACTTGTGATTGCCTCTGTTCATATTTTCTATTTATTCCTGGTTCAGTCTTGGAAGGTTATACCTTTTATGAATTTCCCCATCTCTTCCAGGTTGTCCATTTTATTTCCATAGAGTGCTTGTAGTAGTCTCTTAGAATGCTTTGTATTTCTGTGGTGTCTGTTGTAACTTCTCCTTTTTCATTTCTAATGTTATTGATTTGAGTCCTCTCCCTCTTTTCTTTTTTTTTTTTTTTTGCGGTATGCCGGCCTCTCACTGTTGTGGCCTCTCCTGTTGTGGAGCACAGGCTCTGGACGCGCAGGCTCAGCGGCCATGGCTCACGGGCCTAGCCGCTCTGCGGCATATGGGATCTTCCCAGACCGGGGCACGAACCTATGTCCCCCGCATCGGCAGGCGGACTCTCAACCACTGCGCCACCAGGGAAGCCCTCCCTCTTTTTGTTGATGAGTCTGGCTAATGGTTTATCAATTTTGTTTATCTTCTCAAAGAACCAGCTTTTAGTTTTATTGATCTTTGCTATTGTTTTCTTTGTTTGTAGTTCATTTATTTCTGCTCTGATCTTTATGATTTCTTTCCTTCTGCTAACTTTGGGTTTTGTTTGTTCTTCTTTCTCTAGATCCTTTAGGTGTAATGTTAGATTGTTTATTTGAGATTTTTCTTGTTTCTTGAGGTAGGCTTGTTTAGCTATAAACTTCCCTCTTAGAACTGCTTTTGTTGCATCCCATAGGTTTTGGATCATCGTGTTTTCATTGTCATTTGTCTCTAGGTATTTTTTGATTTCCTGTTTGATTTCTTTAGTGATCTCTTGGTTATTTAGTAACGTATTGTTTAGCCTCCATGTGTTTGTGTTTTTTACGTTTTTTTCCCTGTAATTGATTTCTAATCTCCTAGCGTAGTGGTCAGAAAAGATGCTGGATATGATTTCAATTTTCTTAAATTTACTGAGGCTTGATTTGTGACCCAAGATGTGATCTATCCTGGAGAATGTTCCGTGTGCACTTGAGAGAAAGTGTAATCTGCTGTTTTGGGGTGGAATGTCCTATAAATATCAATTAAATCTATCTGGTCTATCGTGTCATTTAAAGCTTGTGTTTCCTTATTAATTTTCTGTTTGGA